GGGGTGGCAGCGCAGAAGGGGGAGCAGCACAGACGCGCTAGCGTGTGGGGAGTGTGTGGTCGATACTGGCAGCCACGCTAATTGAGAGAGAGAGAGAGAGAGAGAGAGAGAGAGAGTGTGGTGTCGATACAGCCAGCCACGACCACCATCCCTGACACGCCGTCCCCCCTGCAGAGACGATGTTCCGTGCGCTGGAGCAGCTGTATGCTCTGGGGGCGCTGAACGACAAGGGGGAGCTGACCACCATGGGTGCGCGGTGGGGGGTGCTGGGGGTGGCTGGGGTGTACGGTGTGGTGTGCAGTGATTGGTGTGTGGTGGCTGGCGGCTGGTGGCCGGATGTGGTGGCTGGATGTGGTGGCGGGTGGCCGACTTCCCCCACCCCGACGCCTCTAGATAGCATCTGCCCCCTCTAGATATATCTGCCCCCCACACACACCACCACACCCCCACGCCCCCTCACCCCTCCCCCAGGCCGCAAGATGGCTGAGTTCCCTGTGGACCCCATGCTGGCCAAGATGATCATCCAGAGCGAGAAGTACGGGGTGTCGGGTGAGGCGGTATGGGGTAGTACGGTCAGGCGGTACGGGGGCGGTATGGGTCGGTGTGGCCGGGACGCCGGCCCCAGCGCCGCGGCGGCGCCGCCGTCACGCCTGCGCCGCCCTCTGCCCCTCCCCCCCCCGTTCTGAGTCGTGCGCCGGCCCTGGCTGGGCGTGTGTGGTGTGTTTGGCCTGCTACCCCTTGCACCAGCGGCTTCCCAGCACACGCACCCGCCCGCCTGTATCGCCATCTCGCCACGCCCTCACCCCGCCCTACAGCCTCCCACCCGCCGGCCCAGCTGGGGCGTGATGTTATTTTTGGCGTTCTGAAACCTTCACCCCGCGCCGTGTTATTGTAGAGGAGGTGGCCACCATTGCCGCTATGGTATCCATAGGGGGATCCGTCTTCTACCGCCCGAAGGACAAGGCGGTACACGCCGACAACGCCCACAAGACCTTCCACCTCGGCAACGTCGGTGCGTGGGCGCGGGCAGGGGGTGGGGAGGGGTCAGGGCGGCGGCGGCGCGTGCGCGTGCGGCTGCTTGGCTAGTAGGGCGGCGGCGGCGGG